CTTGGAAGTCTCACCCAGCAACATATACTTCCACTCCTTTTGCTTTGCAAAAGCGCTTTCACAGAGTCTTAGACATTGGGAAGATGGTATGGAAATTATTCTCTAACTTTACAAATGCTAGTATATAGGAGAAAACAATAGAACGTTGGAGTGGTGCTGAGTGAACCAATCTACAGTACTTCCCAGAGTCAGAGAAATAGGAGTTTGGCCTTAGTCATGTTGGTTCTAGGTAGGACATCAGGTAAAGAGGCACAGTAAACAGTTAGATACATAGTTCTGGGAAACAGGAGAGAAATGTCAACAGATCTAGATTTTAAGTGTCATGAGCATGCAAGTATAATTGATGCCATGGAAGGGGTGAGAATACCCAAGGAGGATATAACAGAAAGGGGACAAAAATCAAGGTCCAAACCCTGGGAAATAATAATACTTAAGAAGCAGGGAGAAGAAACAGAATCCAGAAGACTGAGAAGACCAAAGGAGGAGGAGAATCATAAGAGTAGCTTCACAGATATCAAAGAAGTTAATAGCATCAAGGAAGGCGTGATAACAATGATAGGGTCAGAAAAGCATCCACTGAATTTGCAACTCGGGAAGTGAAAACAGAAAGGGGGTACTAGGTAATGGTAGTGTTTTGAGGGTTACTTTGGAATGGAGAGCCTTGGAGGTAGAAAGGAATAAGTTTCAGGGCATATGATGAACAGACTCCTCTATTTTCAGTAACTGGCACTTTCTTTAACTCACCCGGATGAAAAAGAGGAAAGATCAGACTTCCACCATGGACAGTAGGGGAGAGGAGTGAGTGGATTCTTGGAAAGACTGCTTGTGATTACAGCAGGAACTAAATCAATCAAGGATTACCCTGGCTTTTTGACAAATTCTAAGAACTCTATAGCCTAACAGTCACTTGGTCAGAGTAGAGCAGCCTGAGCACTTCCTGGCACTAAGGCTTTCTCACCTCTAGGATCAGACTGATTGGATTACAGTGTTTCTACTTCACTCTAGGGTCACCCAGTAGTTCTCTGACTAGTGGTGAGGACATCTACCTTATGATATCATAGGAGCCTGTGGCCTAGTTGTATTAGATTAGTTTATGTACTAACTGAATAATACATATTAACTTAAGATAGATACAAAATGCTATTATATAATTATTCATATTACTACTACATATAATTATATACATCAATATTTTAGTGATCCTAAAGATAGTCAGTATTTTCAAAATCAGAATGTAAATAATGGTGGAAGACAGACATAAGAAAATAGGCTGGGCGTGGTGGTGCACACCTGTAATCTCAGCAGTTCGGGAGGCTGAGGCAGGAGTTCAAAGCCAGCCTCAGCAACTTAATGAGGCACTTAGCAACTCAGCAAGACCCCGTCTCTAAATAAAATACAAAAAAGGGCTGGGGATGAGACTCGGTGGTTAAGCACCCTGGGTTCAATCCTCAGTACCAAAACAAACAAACAAACAGAAAACATAAGAAAATGGATTAGCCTTAAATAGAAAGTGTTATTTTTAAATCTTCCCACATACCATAATGGACTATTTACCCAATGTTTCCTGGAGGCCTTCCTTTGCAAATTTCATCAGTTTTATCATCTGTATTCCCATCTGCACCTTGTATATAACCTATTTTTCTCTTCAGCTGCTCAATTCTAGAAGCCCTGTTGTTATAATGGTGCTGAGGTCTGACTGGTTACTGAAATCACCTATTGGTGGTCTCTAACTCTTCATTAGTGTGGGCTAACAATAATTTGGTTTCTTAAATTAAACATAACTAGATGCCAGCCTATAGCTTTTCCCTATATAACACTAGAATATAAGCTCCATACGTTCTTTACTTGTTGTACTGGGTTGAACAATATTCCTTTAAAATTTGTGTCCTTCTAGGAACCTCAAAATGTGATCTTATTTAGAAACAGAGTTATTGCAGATACAAGCAGTAAAGATGAGGTCAGAGGGTTGGGGGTATAAAGAGGTGGCAGAGTGCTTGCCTAGCAGGCACAAGGCCCTGTGTTCATTGTCCAGCACCACAAAACAAAACCAAAAAAGACAACGTTAGCTGGGTGCAGTGGAACATGCCTGTAATCTCAGCAACCCAGGAGGCTGAGGCAGAAGGATCACAAGTTCAAGGCCAACTGCCGCAGTCTGGCTGGGCACAATCAGGAGCCACTTGTCAAAAGAAACTAACTTTATTTTTAGAACCACACACGCCAAACAAAACAGCCTCTCAGGAAAAACCCTCAGAGCCCAACTGCCACCACCGGCTTTCCACAAGCCTCTCTCTCCCACACAAGCTTCTCTCCACCTCCCACAATCCTCCTGCTCTTGAGGCCGATTGGGCTGGGTCACGTGGGCGGAGCCAAAAAAGTCCCCCAATGAGCAGCTCCGTGGTCTGAAAGGGCAGGGAAACAGCCCAATGAGCATCACCGCAGAGGAGCCAATCAGCTAGATGTTGCTGGGGCCGCTGTGAGCCAATCATCAGCCGGCAGCTGGAAGTTTGCTGGCAGCCGGAAGTTTGCTGGGGCCCCTTCGGCTGTGGCTCTCAACATCCAACCTTAGCAATTTAGTGTGGATCTAAGCAACTTAGAGAAACCCTGTCTCAAAACATAAAAACGCTAGCCAGGCGTGGTGGCACGCACCTGTAATCCCAGCAGCTCAGGAGGCTGAGACAGGAGGATCGCGAGTTCAAAGCCAGCCTCAGCAACAGCAAGGTGCTAAGCAACTCAGTGACACCCTGTCTCTAAATAAAATACAAAATAGGGCTGGGGATGTGGCTTAGTGGTTGAGTGCCCCTGAGGTCAGTCCCCAGTACTAAAAAATTAATAAATAAGTAAAATAAAAAGGCTGCTGGGCACAGTGGCACATGCCTGTAATCCCAGCAGCTCAGGAGGCTGAGGCAGGAGGATTGTGAGTTCAAAGCCAGCCTCAGCAACTTAGTGAGGCCCTAAGCCACTCAGTGAGACTCTGTCTCTAAATAAAATACAAAAAAAGGCCAGGGATGTGGCTTGGTAGTAAAGTGCCCTTGGGTTCAATCCTCAGTACCAAAAATATAAAAATAAAAAGGCTGAGGATTGTAGCTCATTCGTAGACCACCCTAAAGAAGATGAGGTTAGAGTAGAATAGGATGGGCCCTTAATCCAATATGACTGGTGCCCTTATAAAGAAGATGACACTAGAAAAATACCACATGATGATGCAAGGCAGATATTGGAGTGACACAGTTAGAAGCCAAAGAAGGGCTAGGCTGTGGCTCAGCGGTACAGCACTTGCCTAGCACATGTGAGGCCCTGGGTTCAATCCTCAGCACCATATAAAAAATAAGCAAATAAAATAAAGATATTTAAAAAAAAGAACACTACAAAAAAAAAAGAAGCCAAGGAACATTAAGGACTGCTAGCAAAAACCAGAAGCTAAGAAGGGGCAAGAAGCTAGAATCTTCAGAGAGAACACGACCCTACAGACACCTTGTGGACTTCTTTTTTTTTTTTTTTTTTTAAAGAGAGCGAGAGAGAGAGAGAGAATTTTTAATATTTATTTTTTAGTTTTCGGCGGACACAACATCTTTGTTTGTATGTGGTACTGAGGATCGAACCTGGGCCGCACGCATGCCAGGCGAGCACGCTACCGCTTGAGCCACATCCCCAGCCCACCTTGTGGACTTCTAGCCTCTAAAACTATGAGACAATTAATTCCTGTTGTTTAAAGCCACCCAGTTTGTGGTATTTTATTATGGTAGCTCTAGCATTCTAATATAGTGGCATATTCCAGGCTTCTAGGACAGTACCTGGCACACAAAAGGAGCTCAACAAAAGGAATATTTAATGAACAAATACATGGACTTAATTACCTAGGATTGACCTCTCAGTGCCATTTGGCACCTCTTTATAATGGGCACCCCCACACCTGATGAACACATACATACTTGTTAAAACTCTCCTCTCTTGTTTTCCACATCACTACTTTCTCCTTGTTCAGTAGTTCCAATTCTTTTATTTTTATTTTTTTCCAGTACCGGGGATTGAACCTAGGGTCACTAACCATTGAGCCATATCTCCAGCCTTTTTTATTTAGAGACAGGGTCTCACTAAGTTGCTTAGAGCCTCGCTCAGCTGCTAAACTCACAATCCTCCTGCCTCAGCCTCCTGAGCCACTAGGATTACAAGCATGCACCACTGCACCTGGATAGTTCCAATTCTTTAATGGGGTTTGTAAACCTTCATTCCTCTCTTCTTGCTCCACATTCTTTTCATGTAACTTTATCCCTATGCAGGCTTCAATTTCCCATATATATCAAGAATTCCCCAATCTAAAACAGATATAACCATGTCACTACTCTGCTTAAAAAATGGAGACTGGCTCTTCATTGCCTGCCTATAAATCAAAGTATAATCTTGTCCCCTTTAGCACAGTACTCTGTTCTCACCCCAGTATGCATGAACCCCTTTCTGTAAAATAACCTGTGCTCTGGCCACAAAGGACTATTCAAATTTCTCAGGTACACCATGTTTAATGCTTTCAGTGCCTCTAGATTCCCTCCACCTGGAATGTTCCTAATCCCCCTCATCTACCTGATGAAATCCTAGTTCAGGCCAACCACAAATGCCACTATCTTTTGAAGCCTTTCCCATAACCTTCTGTTTATAACACCAGAGCTATTACCTCTTTAATGTTATAGCTGGTAGTTTATTAATTCACAGATCCAGTACCTAGCTCAATGCCTGGCATGTGGCACACTCCAAAAAATTACAGGTTGAATGAATTCATTCAAACCTGTCAAATTTCAGCTATCAAATGGCAGTAGAATCAAATCTCAGCACTACTTCACCAAAGCACAATGAAGATTTTGCTGCACTAACAGAATTTAGAAAACTACCACAAATGTCAAAGAATTGGGCCCAAATAGATGAGCTGCTCAACATTAGATGAATATTTACTCTTCAGAAACAGACCCTGACACAAGAGCAAAATCCTAGACAGAGCATCAACCCCTTACCTCCGAAGATACATAGTCTCCTCATCTTCTGTATTACAAAATTTGTGAGCATGTTTGGCAGCATCAATCACACGGGATCGGTCCCGGGGCCTCATGGGCAATTTCTCTAACTGACAATCTGAAAGAATGGAGAAAGATTTGGTCAGTAGAGTCACTGAAAAAGGTCTTGATCCAACCAGAAGTTTTCAGTGGCAGCTGTAGCACTATAACTTTTACTATAATTACTCTGCTGATGGAAGCTTCCAACTAAAAATGACTTGGTGTCAGGAAAACCTTGGTTTTGGCCCCAGCTCTGTAGTTACCCTGATCATCTTTGGCAAATCACTTCCCACTTCAGGGACTTTTTCTTCATTGAAAGATCAGTGCACTGGGAAGAGGCTGATGTCTGATGCCAACCATACGTTCCTGCCTTGCACCCCAATAGGTTTACTATTTTTAATTAGTGAAAATATGTAACATTAACAATTATCTACTGGTACAGATGGTTGACACTTTTCCCTATTTTCCTCACTTTATGGAAGAATCAAATAAAAGAACATTTATAAAACCAGAGGACAAAAGGGGGTTGTTACTTTAAAATTATATCAATTTTTTCCCTCTAGGTGTAAAAATACTCATTCTTTAAAAAAATGTTCTTTTAAAAATCCCCCTTCCTGGGGCTGGGGTTGTGGCTCAGCGGTAGAGCACTCACCTAGCATATGTGAGGCCCTGGATTTGATCCTCAGCACCACATAAAAATAAATAAATAAAATAAAGGTAGTCTGTCAACTACAACTAAAAAATATTTTTTAAAATCCCCCTTCCAGGGGCTAGGGCTATAGCTCAGTGGTAGTGCACCTGCCTCTCACATGTGAGACACTGGGTTTAATTCTCAGTACCACATAAAAATAAATATTTTAAAAATTCCCCTTTCCTCCCCTCAAGTCAGCTTTTGTGCTCCCGAAAATTTTCTATTTCATAAGTCTGATCATAAAACCCTAAGTATTAAAATAATTTGTACTTGTAGAGAGAAAAGTGACTTTTTCAAAATATACAGGGGCAGCTGCTAAATTGATGTATTATATATTGTGGTTTCTGTTTCTTGAAAAAAATTTTTCATTAATTTTACATCTAACAAAGGAAAAACAATTTAAAAAGAGGGCAAGAAACAATTCCAGTGGGATGATTTTAACTTGTGAAATGTCCCTGGGATTTTTTCTTTGCTTGCTTTCTTTCTCCTTACCATGCCCCCGCCCAAATACACATATACACTTTCTGTAAAACTTGAAAATAGAAAGCAAAAACCCTCTACTGTTGTAAATCATGCAATTAAAGCTGATTACTTATAAATATGAACTTTGGGTCACTATATACACTGTTAAATTCGATTTATTATTACATATTGTTAAATAAACTGTGAGACAGACACACACACAAAAATAAAAATTTAAAAAAAACTGCCAGATGTGATGCACATGCCTGTAATCCCAGAGACTCACAAGGCTGAGACAAGAGTATCACAAGTTCGAGGCCAGCCTCAGCAACTTAGTGAAGCCCTAAGCAACTTAGGGCTTGTTTCAAATTTTAAAAATTTCATAATTCATAATCCGCTTGAATCAAATGTATGAAATATGATATGTCAAGAACTTTGTAATGTTTTGAACAACTAATAAAAAAAATTAAAAATGCTGGGGGCTGTGGCTCAGTGGTTAAGTGCCCCTGGATTCAATCCCCAGTACCCTTCCAAAAAAAAAAAAAAAAACCTTCCCAACACCGCAACTCAAGTTCCTATGTGTATTTCTGTGATTACAGTACACTTGGTTTGTGCTACAATTTATTAGAGTTAGAAGAGTCAACCAAGTATCCAAGCCTATGAGGAAGGCAATAGGAAAAGTGGGTAACTGTTAAGGACAAAGTTATATATATGCAAATGACCCATCCAAGTTGGAGGAGGTTAATCTGAAAACAAATATGAAATAAAACAGGTACAGTTATAAAGCAGATAGAAATGAATATAATGCAAATCTAAAGGTCCACAGAGGAAGTCAAGCATCAAAGTGATTTGAGATTAATGGAGGAAGTGAAGAGAATTAGAGAACAGTAGGTAGTTTACACATTAGCTTGTTCACTCCTCTCAGTGAATGAATTGCAGTATCACCATTGCAACAGGGAACACTATAATCAGGGCAATTGGAGAGCAGCGGGCAGGAGATCATGAATTCAATTCTAAACATGATATATTTGAGAGGTCCATTAGACATCTGAGTGGAGATATTGAATAGGTAAGTGGAGCTTAAGGAGAGGTTCAGGTTAAAGATGAACATCTGGGAAGTATCAGCAAATAGGTGGTATTGAAAGCTGGGGTCTGGTTGAGATCACTGAGGGAGTGAGTACAGACTGAATATCCAAACAATACCGAGCTCTAACTCCTTGAAATCTCTAGAAATCTGAGAGAAAAAGGAGCTAGACACTGAGAAGGGACAACATTTGAGGTAGGAGAAAAATCAGGAGTGTGTCGAGTCTTGGAAGTAAATAAAGAATATGTCACAAGAAAAATGGCATGATCATATGTTTCAGATGCCACTGACAGGGTGATTAATTAACACGAAGATAATTAGCCACCAGACTGGTATCACAGTGTTTAGTCAGTAAGCTTAACAAACACGGTTTTGAAGGTGAGGGGTGGGAAGGAAAGTCTAACGGAAGTGGGTCGAGACAACAATATAGAAAACTTTTTTTTTTTTTTTTGTAGTTGTCAATAGACCTTTATTTTATTTATTTATTGATATGTGGTGCAGAGAATCGAACCCAGTGCCTCACACATGCTGGGCAAGCACTCTACCACGGAGCCACAACCCCAGTCCTTAGGCAAGTCTTTTGATACAAAAGCAGCATAGGGGTGGGGTTATAGGTGGAGGGAAATGTAGAATCAAGGAGGGCTTTATTTTTATTTATTCTAAGACGACAGCATCTTTGTATCCAGCAGAAAATCACAAAGTATTTGGAGTGAACTGAGGGGGGAGATTGTGTGTGTGTGTGTGTGTGTGTGTGTGTGTGTGTTTTAACAAGGAGTTTAGAGGGAGGTCTGTAGACATTGTCACAAGGTTAAGCAGAAAATGAAACAAACAAAAAAAACGTCAAGAGTGGAGAAAGAATGTGTAGGGAGGATTCTGACAGTAAGGGAAAAGCCACTAAACTTCAGTGAGAGGTGGCGCCCAGATGACAGCCGGAGGAAATTCACCCTCAAGGACCCACAGACTAATCCGGGTGCGAGCGCCCGCCTGTAATCCAGCGACTGGGGAGGTAGAGGCAGGAGGGTTGCAAATTCCAAGCCAGACTGGGCAACTTGGCGAGATCCTATCTCAAAATAAAATGGACTGAAAAAAAAATAAAATAAAATGAACTGGACTGGAGATACAGTTCAGTGATAAAGCGCCGGTGGGTTCAATCCCCAGTACCCACTGGCTCCCCTCAAAAAGAACCTGCAGTGAGGCATTGGGTTCGACCCTCAGCAACACATAAATATAAAGATATTTTTAAAAAAAGAACCCACAGACTCGCTCCTTGAAGACGCCTTCTAGTTCGCCACTACTCACCCAGAACCAGGACCATCTGGCCGCACAAACAATAGTAGACGTGGAGAGGCTTCTCGCCGTCGTCATATTCCTCGCGGTCCCGGGTGTCGGAGCAGACAACCGACCGGGACACTACTTTAGGCATAGTTCCCAGAGGCGGCTAGATACCTCAAAGACAACGAAGAAAGTAGCGCAGAAATGACGTCACAAGCGCGCCGCACCTTTTCTCTCCAAGCAACGTTGAGTCACGTGTCAGTAGTAGCCTCAAGAACTTCCGGGCGGTCCCATCAGGCTAAGATTCGCGGGGGCTCACTCTCAGACTCCCAGAACTTCCTTCACCTCCGCTAAGTTAGCTGGGACTGCTTTAGTTGTGACATCTTCAGTATTATTTAAATCATTTATTTAAATTTCTATATGCTCATGGATATTTAAATTATACATGTACATATATATATATATATATAAAAACCTGATATAAAAAGGACTGTACATTACACATTATATATGCATAATACAGATTTTTAGGTGTGTCTTTATGATTTTTTTCTTTAATGGCACTGTTCAGGATGAGTACCTAATGAAGCATATTTTCATTATTAGATATGATTCATATAAAATTCATTCTTGGGGGCTGGGGTTGTGGCTCAGTGGTAGAGTGCTCGCCTAACACATGCGAGGCCCTGGGTTCGATCCTCAGCACCCACATAAAAATAAAATAAAGATTAAAAAAAATTCATTCTTTATATTCACAAAGTTGTTCAACCATCATTATCTAATTAATTCCAGAACATTTTCATCATCTCAAACTATATTATTAATATCTATTAATAGTCACTGCCTGCCTCCTTCCCAGTCCCTGGCAAACACTAGTCTACTATCCTATGGATTTGCCTATTCTAGTATTTTATATAAATTGAATTATATAGCATGTGATCATTTGTCTGGCTTCTTTCGCTTAGCATGTTTTCAAGGTTAATCCATATTGTATGACTTCATGTCTTTTCATGGTTCAATAGTATTTCATGACATGGATATACCATATTTTGTTTATACATTCATCAGTTAATGAATATTTACCTTGTTTACACTTTTGGCTGTTATAGATAATGCTGCTATGAATATTCATATATAAATTTTTGCAAGGACTACTGTTTTCCATTCTTTTAGGTGTGTACATAAGAGTCAAATTACTGGCTCAGAGAGTAAGTGTGCATGTAAATTTTGGGGGGGAGAGGAGGTAACGGGACTAAACCCAGTGGCACTTAAACACTGAGCCATTCTGTCTCCCTAAGTTGCTTAGGGCCTCGCTAATTTTCTGAGGCTGGCTTTGAACCTGCAATCCTCCTGTCTCAGCCTCCCAAGCCACAGGGATTACATGCATGTGCCACAGTGCCTGGCTACATGTAAATTTTTGAGAAACTACTAGAGGGTTTTTAAAAGCAGTTGCACAGTTTTACTTCCCTACCAGCAAGGTATGACAGTTCTAATTTCTCCATATCTTTGCCAATAATTTTTACCATCTTTGTTATTATAGCTATCTTAATATTTCTTTTTTAAATATTTTTTAGTTATTGAGAGACCTTTTCATTTATTTATATGTGGTACTGAGAATCGAACCCACTGCCTCACACATGCCAGGCAAGTGTGCTGCTGCTGAGCCACAGCCACAGCCCACTATCTTGGTATTAATTTGCAGCTTTGATTTTCACTTTCCTGATGGCTAATGATGTTGAGCATCTTTTCATGGGCTTATTGAGCATCTATATATCATCTTTGGGAGAATATCCATTCAAATCCTTGACACATTTTAATTGGGTTGTCAGTTTATTGTTGAGCTGTAGGAGTTATTTATATATTGTGTATACTAGACCCTAAGCATGTAAATTATTTGAAAGTAGAGGAATCTTAACAGTCCTATTTGGCCCCAGGTAAAAGGGAACATCATCCACCCTTTCTTCTCCAACCCAGAAACTCTTCCCTGAATTCCTTTTGTGGATAACAGGAACCTGGGGGATATTCCAGTATAAGTAAATTCAGACAATCTATGTTGGATAACTTCAATAATCCAAGTGATGGCACCAGAATAGTGGATTTTTAAGACAGATATTACTAAAGACAGCAGGAGTTTGTGGCTAGAAAGACAGAAGATGTAAACCAATGGAAATTTAAAACTCTTGAATGAACATAAGAGAAACCCATTTAAGCCTTAGAGAATCACAGTGTTTTCTACTTGGGTTTTAGTCCAGGTTCATCCCTATGATTATATTATTGAATATTATTGATCTTCTACTATGTATCAGGTACTGTGCTTTACACTGGTTGGAAGTGATAAATAACACATAATCTTACCTATGGCTTAGTCTAGTGCAGGGTGGGCAAACTTTTCCTGTAAAGGGACTACCCCTTGGTATGAGAGCCAAGAAACAAAATAATTTCCACAAGTGTTTTATTGACAGAATTAAAAATACAATGTGAGCGCTTGTTAACAATTTAATTAACAATGTTAATAATTTTTTTGTAATAAAGATCTACTAGTGAGAAGAGGGGAATAATATTTCACTTACTGTTCAAAGTGAGTGTTCTCAATCATTAAATCCTTCTGATGACAGAAGCCCAGTCTGGAGTGATGCAGTCACCAGCCAAGGACATAATAGATTATGATAGTAGAAGTTGGCAGAGGCAAAAAATAGATTTTCCTCTGGAGTCAGTTGCAAATATTAATCTGTTAAAGCTTATTTGTAACAACATTTCTGTATTTCATCTTTGAATTTTTTTCACACAAATAAATACTGCCCTATACTGATATCAGTTCCCAAGTCTATGATTTCGAGCATATTCATCTCATAGAAGGCATTTATAGAATTCTATTAGAGTATTCTCTTGACCAAAATTGCCTTTTACTATGTCCTTGCATTGAAGATTAATCACTTCCAATTGAAGTTTAGGTAAAAGATCTTCAGTTGAAGTTAAATTGATTTTGAAATACAGAATTTCCTTTGCACTTGCATCAAGTCTGAAAAACACTGTTGGAACTTTAATTTGAGCTCAGGAAATATACTTACTGTAAATTTCTGTAGGAATAAAAAATCTTGATTGTTGTTTTTTAACTTTTGACAGCACAAGAATCAATAAAAGCAAATGATGATTCTTGTGATTCAATGTTAGTTGTCATTGAATAACTACTGCAATATAAGTGTCACATATAAGCACTGTTTTGCCTTATAATTTTAGGTTAAATCCATTAAGAAACATCATTAAGTCTATAGCAAAAGCTAATTTCAAAAAACTGTTCAATAATAGTTGTCAGGGGGTGGTTTTTCTCATCCTGAAATGTTTTTTACATATTTTTTAGTTGTAGATGGACACAATATCTTTATTTTATTTATTTACTTTTTATGTGGTGCTGAGGATCGAACCCTGTGCCTCATACTTGCTAGGCAAGCATTTTACCACTGAGCCACACAGCCCCAGCTCCTCATCCTGAAAATGTTTAATCTGAGGTCTTAGTTCCTATAAATCTCAATAGAATTTTACCACTATTAAGCTATTGAAATGCTATGGGGAGGGCAATTCAGAAATATTCAACATCTACCCAGGCACGGGCATGCATTCCAGCAATTTGGGAGGTTGAGGCAGGAGGACTGCAAGTTCAAAGCTAGCCTCAGCAATTTAGCAAGGCCCTAAGCAACTTAACAAGACCCTGTCTCAAAATAAAAAATAAAAAGGGCTGGAGGTGTCGCTCAGTGTTTAAGTGGTTAGGTTCAATCCCCAGTACCAAGAAAAAGAGGGTAGGGGGAGAGAAATATTCAAGCTTTCAAGTTCTAGTTGTGGGTAAATTAAGAATCAGGAGATAGGGAAAATATCCCAGATTAAGTGGGTAGACCTGATGCAGCAACACTGATCCTTGCAAGAGGGATGAAGTTAGTCAGGGTTCACAGAAAAAGCCATGTGAAGACAGAAGCCCAGTCTGGAGTGATACAGTCACAAGCCAAGGACATAATAGATTATGATAGTAGAAGCTGGCAGAGGCAACAAATAGATTTTCCTCTGGAGTATCTAGAAGCAACCAGGCCAGTCAATGAGTTTGGTTTTAGACTTCTGATGTCCAAAACTCCAAGAGAATAAATTTGTGTTCTCTCAAGCCACTAAATTTGTGATAATTTGTTATAGCACTGTAACAAATATAAAACTATATTTACAAAAGCTACAGTGTTGTGCATTGGAATTCAATTCAAACCAACCAACCAATCCAACTTTTTACTATGGTCTGCAAGCTAAGAAATGGTTGAAACAAATCAAATGAAGAATAGTATTTAATAAAATTTCATGATACATGAAAATTACATAAAATATCAATGTACATTAAGAAAGTTTCACTGGGATGCAGCCATGCTTGTTCATTGATATTCTGTCTGTGGCTGCTTTTGTGCTATAATAGCAGAGCTGAGTAGTTTTGACCATGTGTTGCCCAATGCACTACAAACTGCAGTGATGCAGTAAAACTCGAGGGCATTTTGAGTGTCACAGTTATTGTCATATCACTGCATTTTTTAAAGTTACAAGTGCATACATATCCCATTAACACAAGAAGATTAAGCTGGATGCAGTGGCGCACACCTCTAATACCAGCAATTTGGAAGGCTAAGGCAGAAGGATCTCAAGTTCGAGACCATCCTCAGCAATGTAACAAGACCCTGTCTCAAACTAAAAAGGGATGGAGATGTAGCTCAGTGGTAAAGTGCATCATGTTCAATCACCAGTGCTGCAAAAAAAAAAATAGATAGATAGATAGATAGATAGATAGATAAAAACACAAGGAGATAAAAGTGGACTTTGAATGCCATATATTAGTTGTGGATGAAATTTTATTTTTTATTTTTATGTGGTGCTGAGAATTGAGCCCAGTGCCTCACACATGCTAGGCAAGCACTTTACCACTGAGCCACAACCCCAGCCCTTGAATGTCACATTTTTGAGGTACACTGGGATGTGGAATAATTGGTTATGGAATTAGATGTTAAAGCATTGTGTTCGATACACAATGACACTGTAGCATTGCTAAACATATCACAATGTGCATTGATATTACCGGACTACACACTTGTCACAATATTCCAAATTCATAGCAGAGCAATGGTTAGAAAAACTACAAATTAAGGAAGAGGAAAAAAGAAA